CTTCTCATCTGTACATGGTTACAGTGAATGTCTGTGATGATTCTGGTGAGTTCACCTCATGTCAAAGGCCAAATTTTCCAAATTGAGCTTGCCTTTCTTTATGTTGAAGTCTTGAGAGTGGTTCTTGTCATTTGGAATTTAGTACAAGAATGCACTACCAAATCCAGGATCTTAGATGGTTAATAATACTTGAAATACTCCCCATCTGGAGTACTGTGTCCAGGCCAGAAAGATGCAGAGCTCTTGAAAGGGGTCCAGAGGAGGGCCACTATGATGATCAGGGGGCTGGACCATCTCTCCTGTGAAGAAAGGCTGAGGGAACTAGGCTTGTTTAGCTTGGAAAAGCCTCCAGGGGGACCTCACTGTATCCTTCCAGTACTTAAAGGGAGCATATAAACAGAAGAAGGAACAACTGTTTACATGGGTTGATAGTGATAGCACAAGGAGGAATGGTTTTAAACTAAGACGGGAGATTTAGGTTAGATATTAGGAGGAAGTTTTTCACACAGAGGGTGGTGATGCAGTGGAATGGGTTGCTCAGAGAGGTTGTGGATGCCCCATCACTGGAGGCATTCAAGGCCAGGCTGGACATGGCTCTGGGCAGCCTGGTCTGGTGGTTGGCGACCCTGCACATAGTAAGGGGGTTGAAACTACATGATCATACATACGTGAAGTATGGGTATTTTTCAACCCAGGCCATTCTACGATTCTATGGAAAACTGCAGAGCCAATTCTGGAAGGCTAAGGATGCAACTGCTATGACTCAAAACTGATACAGTTACTGTTTGTTCTCATCTTTGAAGTTATTCATGTATGAGAAAGAAAACATAGAGAAGGTTCCAGATGAAAAATAATGTACGTTCTTGCACAGATGAGTATTCTACAGCTGATGCTGGAGTATGGCTTTACTTCAAGAGATTAGAATTCCCCTCATCATCATAGTTTTTTGGACCACAGCTCCAGTTCTAAAAAAAAATAAAAATAAAAAAAATCCAAAGGTTTGCCCATTTTCTGCCAGAAGACGGATGTATCAATAATCCAGGCTGCTGTGGGTTAGCTCTGTGTGAAAAAGATGGTTTTCCTCATAGGTCGCTGAATGGGGCATCCAGAAGCTGGGACTTCCTATGTATGCTGACCAGCTGGCTGGTACCTACAGTGGTGGCAACAAGCGCAAGCTCTCCACTGCCATTGCACTGATAGGCTGCCCTCCACTCATCTTGCTTGTAAGTGTCACAGTAATAGAACTCTGTGATATTTCAGTATGAAATCTCATAAAACTACGTGCTGGAGAGCTACAGGGATGTTTATGATAGTTCTTGCAAGCTCCTTTCTGCCTCTATGTATGTCTACTTCAGTGTAGTCTTCAGTTCTTAAATATTAGGAGTAGACTAGAATGAGTAAGTGTGTTTCGGATGGAACCTAATTTTTATAAGAGAGATTTTCAATAAGGAAAGGTTTGGTATTAAAATATATAATTCAGAAAAATCTGAGTTTAAATTCATGATTGGTTTCAGCCTGTCTTTTCTTGTCAAAGTGTACCCAGTCATGTAAATGATGACTGGTTCAGCCTGGAGAAGAGAAGGCTTTGGGGAGACCTCATTGTGACCTTTCACTGCTTAAATGAGCTTAAACAGGAGGGAGAACAACTTTTTGCAAGGTTGGATAGCGACAGAACTAGGGGAATGATTTTAAAGTAAAAGAGGGGAGAATTAGGTTAGTTGTTAGGAAGAAATCTTTTACTCAGGGGGTGTTGAGGCACTGGTACTTGTTACTCAGAGAAGTTCTGGATGCCCCATCCCTGGAGGTGTTAGATAGAATGGGGCTCTGGGCAGCTTTGTCTGGTGTGGCAGAAGTGTTGGAACCAGATGGTCTTTAAGACTCCTTCCAACACAAGGCATTCTATGCTTCTGTGATCTTACTACATACACCTTGCTGCTTTTTCCAGCAGAACAGAGGAAGATAGCTACCTTTTCACAACCTTTATTATCTTCGAAATGAACTACACAAATTTAGAATGAACTATACAAAAGGTAAAATGTAGTTCTCATCAAGTAATATGAATTATGATAATTGCATTTCTCAAAGGCAATTGTAAATGCAATTACTACAAAAATTCATCAGAATTCCATTTATTTTTATTTTGGGTTTTGAATCTTTTGCTAACAGGGTTACATTTGATAAAGGCTTACATTTTTGATAGCTAAGACCTTGGACTTTTGTCTGCCTTTGTTGTAATGGTCAGTGCAATTCTTTCCCTGTTGGGAAAGGAATAGGCCTCTGTTGGGCCCTATACAGATAGCACTGTATTCTTACCTGACAGATTGCTTGTGTTTGGTTCCTTACTGCTTTGTGCCAAGAAGTGCATTACTACCAATTCACGTATACACTTGTCAGGGTGTGCTTATGTGTTCCCAAGGCACAGATTCCAGTAGGGAAGCAGTGATAAGCTAGAACCCAAATGTGCAAGATTAATTCTAATGATTTCCTTTCTAAATGTTTTCTTTTTTTTTTTTTTTCTGCTACTCTGAATCTGGCTGTCTTAACATTCACATTTCAGGATGAACCAACTACTGGAATGGACCCTCAGTCCCGGCGCCTTCTGTGGGATTCTATTGTCAGCGTGCTCAGAGATGGACGAGCTGTAGTTCTAACTTCACACAGGTATAGAGTTGGAATTCAAATCCCAGAGCAGCTGACATTTGTCTGCTGGTTCTATCTCAAATATCCATTCTCTGTTTTGAAAGTATGGAAGAATGTGAAGCTCTCTGTACTCGTCTGGCCATCATGGTAAAAGGTACCTTCAAATGTCTGGGCACAATTCAGCAGCTAAAATACAAGTAAGTTGAATATATTATAGTGTTTTTAATGGGTAAACCTAATATGTGTGGCATGAACCATTCTTAATAGAGCAAACCAATCTGAAGAGCTGCTGTGAAATTATCTCTTTGTCCAGTTTCCAAATCTGTACATGTTTCACAGGTTTGGAGATGGCTACATTGTCACACTGAAAATCAAGGCTCCTAAGACTGGGCTGCCTCCAGATCCAAGTCGTGCTGAACAGTTCATACGCATAAACTTTCCAGGGAGTTTACAGAGAGAGAAACACTACAACATGCTGCAGTATCAAATTTGCTCCTCTTCTCTGGCTAAGATTTTTCGGTTAATAATCTCCAATAAGGAAAACTTGTATATTGAAGAATATTCTGTCTCTCAAACAACATTAGATCAGGTGAGTAAAAAATAAATCATCCATGAGAAACTCTACTGGGCAATGCAATGACAGTGTAAACAACTGAAGGATCAAACTGCTTACAGTAGAGAATTGTCTTGAACCTCTTTCTCAGACAAAATTCCCAGGCCCCTCATCAAGGAGGGTGGATCAGATAAGAAATCTGTAAATAATTCCCTTCATGAATTAGGTGCTGACTGAAAGCTGCTGTGCCAGCATTTCGCAGGTGCCAGAGTTCACACAAATCTACTCTGTCAGGAGCAGAGGCTAAAGCTTCCTGAGCTGGAAATGATCTAATATTTCTTTCAATTTTATTTTGTATAAGAGATTTGGGTTGTGTTGTCTGAGATGCTGATAGAGATATGGTGGTATCTGGGTAAACGCTTTTTTCTCTCCATTGCAATTATTATGCAAAAGCAATTAGATACATAGAGCCTGAAAAAAAACTGGGACTCTTGGCAATACCCAGTCAATCTCTGAAGGATATTCACCGCATCGCCTGCTTTCCTGAGTAGCTAATGATTCACATAGATGAAGCTAGCATTGGTGAGGGTGCTAGAGAGACATTTTGGCTGCCTTACAGCTTCCTACTGAACTACTATCCCCTCTTCCTCATCACCACCAAGCTCAATTATATTGCACAAGGCCATGTAAACCATCTCCCGCTGAAGACAAAATAGGATCTTAGTTGCAAGTCACTGCATCCAAAGAAAGGAAGTTGCAAGGAAATTTATCAAAATAAAGGAGGAATGAATAGTCCTTGCTGATGCCCTGTGTTTCAGTTCTGAGTACATATTTTTTGATTCTCCTTTCCCTGTCTTCCCTGTAGAGGCCAAGAAGATACAAATGTATAGAGACATTCTACTAGCTAATCTCAGTTGATGTCGTTGTCTTCTTTCTTTATGTAGGTTTTTGTGAACTTTGCTAAGCAGCAGGTGGAGGATGAGGAAATTCCTTTGCATCCTCGTGCGGCTGGATTGAACCGAGAAACAAAGGTGTCTCCTGCTTCACAGCAGCAGGCAGTTGCATAGACTATTCCGACAGTCACTAGCATTTAGTGTGCCATACCAGAGGGGTGAAAAGGTAAAAGAAGGGCTTCCATGCCCAGTGTTATTCTGACTTTCTGTAACTTTCTGAGAAGTGTGCTTATAAGTCCCTAGCAATAGCAAACTTCTGCTGCTCTACCAGGAATATTACATACAACACATGCTGAAAGCATCTAAAGAGAATCTGAAAGCATCTGAAGAAAAGCAGGTACTTGTTCCAGGAAAAAAAATCTTTCTCTAATGTAAAGTATAAAAGAATAGAAGCTTCATTCCTCCTCGTTGACATGTAAAGAGAATTAAAAAGAGCCAGTCCTTTCCAGCCAGTAGGATTTTCTTGGTTAACTCTTATTTTTCATTCTTGCCGGTGGAAACAAACTTGTCTCAATAAGAATGGGAAGAATTCATTCCCATCTCAGATCAAGGCAAGAAGTTTGCTTAATGAAAATGACCTAATACTCACTGATCTTCAAGTTCAGAAAAGGAAGCAGAGTATCAAATTGGGATTTAAACAAAATAGTACATCTAAACCAGCCAAACAAGACCAAACTTTTCTTCTTTCCTCTGACCTGGACCTCAAGTGGGTGTAAAGTGTGAATAGATTATGATTTCTCTGTGCTCAGAAAGTTTCAGCCTGCTTGTACTCCATGATGGGAAATCATTTGCCATTTAGCTCTTTTCTCTGGTTCACCATTGGACTAATATAAAATAACAGTATTGCAAGCAGATTCACAATTACGTATTGTTTCACTTATCTAAGAAATTATTTCATTTTTTTAAAAAAAGAACTCCAACACGTGCTATACAGAAATAAAAGGTGGGTCACATATTTTGCTTTTTTAGTTTTTTGTTCAATTTATATAGGTCTTACTTGATGCAAGGACATTCTTCCTTTGTACTTTACAAATAATTATGAAATTTTGGCAACCAGCTGTAATCTTCCTCTTTTGCCATAGTTATTTCAATTGAATTCAAAACATAGTCTAGAATTTATTGTAGATTTCACCCTTACGAACAGTTGCAAAATCTTTCTATACATCCATTATAATAAATAAATTAATCATGAAACAAAACAGTATCTACACATTTTCTTCATATTCTGAAACAGTTTCTTCAAAATATCATTCAGATATATTGCAGTCATAATTTTATATTTTTTTTTACTAGATTTGCACAAAACCCGACTAAATCCCACTGAACATCTTGTGAAAAAGAAAACACAGGAAGTTCAGAATGTCTGGATTTTTCTCCCTGGCTCTGAAAATAGGAAGGGAACTACCATTCTGAATGTTAGCAGTACTTTATGTATTCACAAAGTACACTGAAATTATTCAGAGAATTCTGACAAAAAATACAAGGTTAAATGTCCTCTAGGATCTTTTAGAATATGTTAAGGACTTATTATATGAAACAGGCCAAATATCATGGATACGGCATAGATCAGATACTGTGAACCTTATTTGTCAGTATGCAATTTACTAATTAAAAATATTAAAAACAAAACAGGATAAACACCCCTATATATTCACAGGATGGATGTTAAATCCACAAATTCTTCTTTCTTTAGATCCAATTGGCAAATTACAGCTTAGACCCAAAGCAGGTATTTGAGAGACTGCCCAATTCATTATTCCAGGAGCCATTCATTTTCTTTGGTAATGTTGTTTGTCACCAAGTACCTGCCTCCAGGCAGAACACTCTCTTTTTCAAGTCAAAGAAGGCAAAACATGCAACTGTCTTCAGGCCAGCTGGCCATACTGTATGAGTTGAGCTTTCTTGTAGTTGGCTGCTGTGTCCTCATTCCAATGTATTTATGTCACAGTCTTGCAGAATGCCACTGCTAAATTTGGAGCTGCTTTTCAGAACAAGCTTATCAGTATCTCTGATGTATCAATCTAAATAGACTAGTGCACGGAAATCTCAGTCAGTCAGGTTGCAGTGGAGCTATACGGGCTTTTGGCTACCAGCTCTGCAGTGAAGCCTTATTTTTTGAAGGTGCTTCTGAATTGAAGAATTCTTGAATATAAGGAAGTATGGTTTTCAAGTGTATTGTTTCCCTCAGCAGTGGAGAGTTAGCATACACCAGAATCACTTCAATTAATTCAATTATTTGGCAGGAGATTTATGAATAAGAAAAATCCATGGGCTTTTTCTTCTTGAAGTTCCATGCAGTATTGAAACCAAACTTTTCTTACAATAAAAAAGGAATAATTGGCATTCGAACACTTGGATAATCCTTGAATTCTCGTAGGTAGGTATAGTGTTTATCCTTTGCCCAGATTGTCATCTGAATGAAGCAAAGCAAGGTGAACAGCCCCACTAGGAGGAAGGGGAAAAGAAAAGAAAAAAAAAAACAAAACAAAACAAAACAACAAAACACTTAATTGTCAGAGAAGGTACAAACTCTCACTGCTGACAACACTTCAGGAAGAAGTACCAAAACATTGCTCACCTGGAACACATTGAGTCATGATAGTGAAACTGATCCATGTCCCCACCTGTTTTGGCCAAGGAAATTTAAAATATTTCTGATGACAGCATTTGCATTTATGTCTCTATTGATCAAATACAACCTTGTCCTAGTATAGGTAAATAAAAAAGCCAAGGTCAGCCATATCAATTTCTATTGTTAGTAGCTTTTAACCAAAATGTGAACAATGCTTTGTTATCACAAACAAATGCTTTATGTTTGCATTCATAGTTAATATGACAATTGTGTAAGCATTACAACATAGCTTCCTTTCATTTTCCCTACCTAATTCGCATTTGTCATTCATCCATCAATGCTAGAAACAGTAACTTTGTGTAGTCAACTGTATAACCAAAGGAAATGAAGAGTAAGACCTGGCAGGTATTGCCTCATAGTGTGGTAGAGCAAAAAGGAGAAGCAGGGGTATCTTCTATTTAACTGTGCACTGTTTTCTTGTACACTGCGATATTCCTGGGGCCACGTATATTTTAAATCCACAAGATACCCCAATTTCTTTTCTGAAACTTATCCTCAGTGTCAATTCCCCTATTCCTCTCTGCAACATTTTCACTGCTTCAAAGTACATCTGCATCTTGTCTAGTGGTTACACTAAAGCTCAGGCTGAACTGTTTCAGGGTTTAACATTCCAAAAGAAATGAAGACATATCCAGGAAAGTTAAAATGCTAGCATTTTGTTTCAAAATACGTACCTCATAGGTATAGTTAGGGCAAGATACAAAGAAAAACAGCCATGTGAAAGGATTCTTTGTTGGATACGGGATCTTACGAGTTTTGGACCCTATAGATTAGAAAACAAATCACAAAATGTTTACACTCCTGGGCATATCATCTCCAGCAAAGACAAGCCAAACCTGCCTACTCTTCTGTCTTATCACTGTCAGAGGGACAAGCAGGATGGCGAAAACAAGATGTTCTCTGGACTCACCTGAAGGAACAGGGTAACTGTGAGGAAATGCTCTGGGCATTAGAAAGACATTTACATAATCCTTTGGGTTGCAGTCACACCCATAAAATTGCCTCAAGTATGTTTTATGTTAGAAGTTAAAGGTGTTCTCCAGTTGTCAGAGGATTGGATTTTAGTAGTCACAGTTGTTATCCATTGTTCAGTTAGTGAGCAAGGAGCTTTAGACTGCATAAAGATCTTTTGCTCCTCTGTAGAAGTCAGTTAAGTAACTTTCCCCTTGCACACTGAAGCATAACTTATACCACCATTACTTTTTCCCTCTGCACTACCAGTGTAAATAATACAGCTGGTCACCTCAGCATAATCTGGCTGTAACCAAGAAAAATTACAGTGAGATAAGTGTTTTTTGACAGTCTCTTTTTGGATTTCTTGCACTGTCTGATCTCTCTTAGTATCCAATCTTTATAATGCAGAACAACCTGATTTTCCAGCACAATCAGAAGAGTAGGTATCAGCACCCTATGGGATCAGTCAGTTCTTTTGTGAGGCAGAATAACTGTGGAAGTACTGAACAGCTGCACAGAAGGAAAAAAGTATGCAATTTTTACCATCTCTCCGGAGGTCACTAAGTGCAACGTGAATGGAAAAATTTCCAGCTTCACATAGCTGCAAGAAAAGGTATGACAGTTAAAAACATTCTTCTCTTCTACACACTCCTCTTTCTTTTGTTATTTCCAGGGGAACTTAAAAACAACATAAAATAAGTTAGAGTCTGTTGTAAACACGATGAAAAATGGGAGTTAATGTGTTGCAAATTGCCAGGATACTATGCTATGTTACCCATGAGATTTACCAACAAATGTAGACTCACTATCCAAAAGATAATTTACTTCTCACGCAGTCTCTATGAGATCTAAAGGCAATAAACCAAATAAAAGCAAATCCAGGAACTACTTGCTTTGTCTTTTGGCTAGTCTGTTTAAAAACGCCAGAAAACTTCATTTGGATAGTTTTGGTTTCTCAGAAGTCATCAAAATCCCAAGGATTGGACTCAAAAGAAGTTTTCTTCTCTGGAGTATAATCAATCTGAATCATGAAATGTAATTGACCCAGCTTTCTCCACTGGTTTTAAATAATGCTTCCCCAATCAACTATGTGGAAGGGGTATTGGAATAACCCATTTACGTAATTATGGATCGTATCTTCAGTATCTGCACTGCATATCTATTAAAACTAACAGCTGGTGGTCAGACCTGAGTGCTGTTGCAAACTGTATATATTCGTGTAGCCTCTTTATAAAATGGGACTAGTTTACTACCTCACAGAAATTTCATACTGGGAAGATGCTTTGAGAGCCTCTGGTAACTGAGCATTGGTTTCTCAAAGCAGGTGAACAGCTGATGTTTTAAATGAATTAGGCATAAGTGGGAAAAATGGGTACATCTTTATTGGCTACACTATGCAACTGTGGAAATGTTCCTAGGAACTGTGAGGATGATCAGACAGTGTCTTAAGAACTTTGTTTCATAAAAAAATCCTTACAAGGCTTAAAATGCCCCTGCAACACCTACTTCCCCTTGCTCCATCTGCTGCAAGTGGTTGCATCTAAAGGAACATCTTCCCCTAGAAGTAAGCAATGTGTACTGTTTTAGTTGGCCAGTTTTCTAAATTTTATGACCTGTTCTGATTCTTAACACTCAATAAATATTTCACAAGATAAACTCAGTGGCTTTAAACACTGTCACAGACTGATCATGCCAGGATTCTTTTAGTGACTGGAGATCATCCCAACAGATCAATAACCCAGTCTAGTCTTAGAATAGATACTTAATCAGAATCTTCCTTTGTGTACAAGATCACATTAAAATGTGACAGATGTGTCTACTCTACGTGCAGGTGGGCAGCTATAGTTTGTCCCAAGTATTCTAGCTTAAAGTATCTGTTTATCCTACCCATTCTTCCACTTATACAACATAATAAATAAACCAGCAAGTTTTAGAATTTTATAAAAAGAGCGATAGACCTACCAGAAACATGATCACAGCAAAATTAATCTGTTTTTTCCCATAAGCTATAAAACAAAATGTTTACATGTGATTAGCTATAAAATACAACCAGTGAAGGACTTAAATCATACTGAGAGCTGTAATGCTACTTACAAGGAGGAGTGTAAAGAGGATGATTGATGTAATAAGCAAGCCAAGCTGCAAATCCCCAGTAATATAAACAGTTCTGAAAAACAGGTAATTTTTCTTTGTTTTAGTATCATCTTGAAAAGAATTCACTGTGAGGACCACAGATAATATTATCAATTGGACTGATCCTCCAAGTTGCTGATAATACAACAAGAAGTGATGATACTGGGTGTGGTAAGGCAGGAGCAAACAGGAAATGAGCTCATAGGGTAAGATTTCCTCAAATATTCTTGGAGCTGTTAAGTTTATAAATGATTTTAGAAAGTATTAATCTACTTTTGGAAACAGATTTCTTTGTCTCACAAGCCATCCAAAGATGATGTGCCATGTAGGCTTTATGTTAAAGGGAGACTTGTTTTATTAACCCTTGAGACTCATAAAACCTTATTTTGGCAATGTGCTCTCTTCCCTGCTTATTTCTTTGTATTGTCCAATTCCTTGACATTTTTCTTCTCCTTTGTCCCGTCGAGGCTTTTCTCCTTCAATGTTTTAACTTTTCTTTCCTTAAATCATCACGCATGACTTTTCCTTCTGCCCCTTTTACTGTGGTATCTTTACTTTGTTCCTTTTGGTGCTGTTCTTGGCTTTCTGTGATCCAGCTTCCATAGAGCTCTCACTTCACTGATTCGTTCCTGGCCAATTCCAGAGCTTATTCAGCAGCTTTATCCATTAAAAAACAAAACCAAAAACCCTTATTGAAAACTGCCTTCTCTACCTGTTGTTTAGTTTTCCTAGTCTTCCTCCTGTGGCTCTTCAAAAGGGCTGACAACAGCAGGACTAGGGGAAATGGATCCAAGTTGAAGGAGGGAAGATTTAGGTTGGATGTTAGGGGGAAGTTCTTTACAAGGAGAGTGGTTAGGCCCTGGAACGGGCTGCCCAGGGAGGTTGTGGATGCCCCGTCCTTGGATGTGTTTAAGGCCAGGTTGGACGGGGTCCTGGGCAACCTGATCTGAATGTGTATGTTTGGTGGCCCTGCTAGGCAGGGGGGTTGGAACTACATGATCCTTGAGGTCCCTTCCAACCCAGGCGATTCTGTGATGCTGTGATTCTTATGATACTCACTCTTTCTGTAGTATCTTGATGACAGATTATCTTTTTCTTCTTCCTATATTTGTTGGTAGGAGGAAAGGCCTTTCTTGTCCTATTACTCCTTTTTCTCTATGCTTTCAACTAAAGGGGCCGTTCTTGACAACTCATAAATTTGCCTCCTGTTGGTTGAGATTTGTTTTCCTTTATCAAACCCATTTCTCCATTTTTTTATGCTTTAGGTGTGTTTGATTATTACCTAGACGTCTATGAAAGCAAAATTGAGCCCTTTATTTTTCTTCCCCAGTTTATATTCTTCTCTCATGAGTAGAACTATGATCCCCTCGCTCTGCTGATGCTTTTTCCTTAGCCTTTCAATAGGTTCACATACCTTAGACATTTCTAGATCTTCTTTTTCCTTCACAGCTTTCCATTCCTGCTCACAAAGACAAATTCTTACCAAGGCTGCAGTCTTTCATGTCCTGACCGTTTAAACTCTTTTTTTTTTTGGCTTTGAATTTTGCAGTCTATCGATCTTGTAAATAGTAGAACTGCATTTCTAGGAATAATACCCCCAAAAGTGATCACCTCAGCGTCTGCAACCCACACTGAGTGCAAAGTGACAGTGTGTTTTTCTGAAAATGCTAGTGATGGGCAACCCCGCTCCCTATACCATCAGACATTCTGTTACAAACCAGTTTCTTTCCAGAATTAAGTGAACCCCTGAAGTGACCAGTGACCTCAGACAAAACGGAGATCCCTTAGGATTTGTAGTACAAACTAATTACTTCTTGCTCTGGGATTATGTATTAATAAATAACTAATGAGAAAGAGCAAACTATTAACTAATGATTACAGATCAGGTGGGACGAGAAGGGAGAGACTAAGTGATCCCTGTGATTACCTCCTCTTTTTTTTTTTATCCAGGAAAAGGAGCGGAGCTGGAGAACAGACTCCAGTGGCGATCAGTCTAGTCAGTGTCCTATCCATGAATTACTGCTTCCGTCCTAATGCTAATTTCATGTGACATCATCCTCAGTGTATTAGCTGCTGTACAAAGTTAGGTGAAAGCACTTTCCTGTAATCTTGGAATGGCAATTTATGAAAAATCTCCCTATAACTTCGGGCTTGGCACAAGATGGGTCATATGGCAATGGATTTTTTGTAAAGTATAATTAAGTGAGTGATCATGGCTCAGCTCCCAGAAATACATGCTGTAATTAAACTGAACAAATACTAGTCATCCAAAGAACACGATTTACCACAAGAATTAAAAGTTATATCTCAATTATAACAAAAAGAGCTTTAAAGATGAGTGGAATCTGCCACCCTTAGCACTAACACTGCATGTAATAAGATGTCACTAGAAGCCTTACTGCTCATACAAAAGTCTCCAGTGAGATTCAGATAGGAACAGCATGGTACGTGCAGACTTAATCAATTCATTAGAAAGAAGGGAATTTTTTCTGTGCATCTTTTTTATTCCAGGTAAATAAAAAACCATCAGGTCCAGATATTGCTAAGATCCCATAAATAAACTATTCTTAAGTTTTAAAACTTCCAGTTAGGAATTTTGTTTTTTCTCCTCCGATTTATCATTATTCCTATAGTGACCAAAACTATTTCTTATTATCTTGCCTATGTTTACTCATAGCCAGTGTGTACCCTTTTGTTTGTCTCATTATATTGTCTCCTGGTTTAAATGGAATTTCTTTAGCTCTAGCATATTCTTTCCTCCAGATAAGATCGTAGGAAGCAACAATATTCTGTCTTTTTACCCTTTTTTAACCTTTGAGGAGTTCCACTGCTCAACTACTATTGAAGGTCTGACTGAACCTCTTCTGGCACAACCACTATCATCTTCCCTTTAGTTAGTTCCTTTATCACCACACATTTTTTGTATTATTCCCTATTTTACTGAGACATTTGCTAAATCCAAGTAAGGCAGATATTCTATCTTGACATTGCCTAGAAAATCATCTTAGAATTATACTGTGGAAGTGTAGCATGAACCGCTTGTGTGGTGAGCCCTTGCTGCATTTTACTGTATCATTTATTTCATTTGACGAAAAAAGGATGAAAATCACAAATCATATCAATTCTTGTCTCAGGTCTCTGCTTATTGAAACTGAAGTGTCTCCTTTTAAACATAGCATTCTGTTTTGCTTTGGAAATAAGCATTTGCTTTGTGGGTGATTATACACTTAAAGTAAGAAGCTTTGGCTACCATCTGTGTGCGAGAGAAAGAAGGGAAGAGGATGTGATTTTTTTTTTTTTTTTTTTTTTTTTTGACTGATGGAATTCTGAAGTAATACCATCAAAGTCAAGGAAATTATAGAAGTAAATCAAATCCAGGCAGTGTTAAGCAGGGAGAAGAACTGTGAGCAACTTTACAGATGAAAGAAAGTACCACCAACCTGAAAAGGAGGAAAAGTAAATGTGATCAGAATGACTGGATACAAATGACATTTTGTTTGGTCTGAAGAGGATTCTTTCTGGGATCCACTGGCTCAACTTTCTCATTCCATGTAGAAAGCATGAAGTTATTGCCAGAATTACCAGAGCCACTGCAAAGCTCTAAGTTAGCCATGATGTAAAGTTTAAACAGCCTGGAGTATCACTGCCATAATTCAGAGTCCAAGGGATTGTCTAAATACAAAATATTAACTACTCAAATGGTGATGCTATAGCTTTTGTTCTCCTGAGTATAAAGAGTACGTTTGAATAGCAGTTCATACTGTTGCTAACATTTCTGAAAAACCACAGCCCATGCATAAGCGTGCAGCTCTGTAGAATACTAAGAAATAGGGGATCTGTATCTTGATGGCTGCCTTATGCCACAGCAGCACTGACAACATCAGGGGGTGCTCCTGAGTGAGAAGAAAACACAGGACAACCAGGCTACTTTGCAGTGGAACAACAAAAGGTAAATTAATAGTTGCTTATCGACAAAGGTAGTATTAGGTGGGAAGAAGTATTATGACTTTTAAAAATGGTTTTAAAGCATCAAACTTCTCAGTGTTGTACCTATCTGTACCACCTTAAATGTCAGCTTTGTTACTAAAGTCTTCACACCCAGAGAACTAGCTGAGTACAACAAAAGGATTGCTGAAAGTTTCAAATTAGAAAAGAGCAATGAGAAAACTATAATGTGAATAACTGTACAGCAACATGTGGGTTATACAAAGTGGCATTAAGAAATCTTCTGAAGGAACTACAGATTCATGGGTAGGATTTGCTGCACATTACTAAAAAAGCCACATCCAAAAAAATCTGTGCTGCAGAGGCAGAGAATAGGTTGGCTAGGTTGGATTTGTAAGGGGCTACAGATAGATTCTGTCACAATTTACCTTCACAATATTCCTCAGTGGCATAGTCCCATGGGAGAACCGATGAACAAATATTGTTTCAATCAACCTTTTGATGTAGTGGAAAGAATGGCAGATACATGCCAAGCTAGAAACAGCAAGACAAAAGCATTTAAGAGTGCTTAAAAAAACGTGTGGCAAGACATTTGGAATAAGACTACAATGCTAACAAGAAATACAGCTCAAGCCTGCAACGGACTTACTTAACTACTGGATGTGGGCTTGATGTAAACCTCTCATCCAGTCCATACACAAAAGGCATGCGGAAATAAAACAGAAAATAGATGAACAATGGACCTGTATATTCTATCAAAAATACCTGCAAAAAGAGAGAAAATAATTAGACAGCTGAATTAGATGGTGGTTCTGCTTTGGTTTCTTTGTAATAAGTGATGCAGTGGGATAAATACTTCCACTGACCCAAAATGGCATTTAGAGATGCATGGGGAGAATAGCAGCTATGAAATCAGTAGACATGCACATAAATGTTTTGCAATGCATTTGCCTCAACTGCAAACAAACAGCCATTGCCAATGCAGCTGACACAGCATGGATATGAAAAGGTAATCATGGTACCCCAGAGATGGTGATAAATGGGCATGCAGGTTACATTTATGCAGCTCTCACCCTCCTCTTGCCCTCAAAACCTTTTTTTTTTTTTTTTAAACTTATTTTGGGTTAAAATGAAATTAGGTGAAGAATTTATCTTGAAAGACATGTGCTTTATTTCTAATTAATGAATTTCATTTAAACTAGAAACACAATTTGCAAGTGTTCACGTGACCCCATGTGTATGAACAGTTAGCACAGCAGATGTTCCAGAAAACAATTCACTCTATGCTCAAAAAATCTTTCATTTGGAAAAATAAAACAAACACCACCAAGAATAAAGTAACAACTAGAGGAAATTAAATAAGCTATTATCTAACTTAATTTCATTCCAGATAGGAGTGTATTTCTTATGAGCATCACTTTATATTGTCACTAAGTATTTGGACTAAGTATTAACAGTTGAATTTTCAACTTTTCTGAGTGAGAAAGGTAGTTCAACACCTCATTTTTAGAGAGAAAAAGGAAAACTGAAGGAAAGCACAAAATGCATCACTTTTCTCATGTGTTTAGTTATTTTTACTGGAAGAAAAGTTGTTTTTGTATCAACTTCTGTAACAGAATCAGCATTTTCTGTGGCAAAGGTATTAAAAAGGCAAAAAATGCGTTGTTAATTTTATTTTTATCAAAGCATTTCTTGGCTTACATCTGACTGAAGTAGGTTGAAGGAGAGAGAGAGAAAAGGGTAAAAGAAGAATAATGGATTGGAAGAAGTCTGGTGTGTGATATTTTGGTATATATTCAAGTACATGTGTCTTGGAGTCTACACTGTCATTAGTTTTCTCTTCTTACTGACTCATGGTTTGTGCATCAGCTGCCTTACTTATCAGCATAGCATCCAAAGAATTGATCTAAAGATTCAGACTTGTAGGGTTTTTTTGTTGTTTTTTTTTTTTTGCCTCCTGTGAATCCACCTATTTGTCACTGACACAGTATTTTGTTAATTTTTCATAGATAAGAAATAGTAAATGTGTCTCTAAATTACTGGGTACCTTTTCCCTTCATGCTGTGCTGTTTTGTTAGAAGTAGTGCTAATACGTGCACTATGGACTTTCTGAAGAACCTTCAAAAGTCATTGATCACCTCATTGCATAAACATGAATGCAGTGTCACCTGCTGAGTGAGTTGTGATGGGACCTGTCTTTGAGCTGAGAGAGTAAACATGAGATCTTCGTGGATTATAGAAATGATCAGCTGTCATTAGCCTGGCATTAGCATCCTGGGACATAGCCATATACAACTAACTAATTTTACTTTCATGCATTTTCCTGCTGAAGTCAGCTCAATTACTGACAGGTGAGTTTCTCAGATGCCTCTTTGCAGGACAACCTTGGAGTATAATCTTTATCTCTGTCAGGAGGGTTGCACAGGAATTTAGATACTTAGTTCCTAGTGATTAGACATCTAAATCCATTTGAGAACCTGCACCTTATTTCAGCACGGCCAAACTAACCCAGTAGCAAGTTTTCCTCTGCTGCCCTTCTAGGGAACTAGACATTCAAAATGTTTTCTTGCTGCTTTCCCTGGATAAAATGAACTGAAGCAATGAGGGTTCATTGCCTGCATCCACTGTCAGAGCAGGCATCATGCAGAAATACTGGAGTGAGACAAAAAGTGATGTAAAGATTAATTATGGAAAAACAGCCATTAAATTGGCTCAGATTTGAAGCATAGCTCACCGTAGTCCATCCTATCTGTGGCCCTAAATCTTTAAAGTATAAAGTAGCAGTTGTGCCAACAGGGAGGTGCTGCAGGATTTCCTCATTCCTCAGGGACTTTCCTTCTGAGAAGGAAAGAGGTAATTACATCTCAGTGAAATTCAAATCAACTACGCTAGCAAACTGGCTTCATATTGTGCTTTTAAAAGACTAAGATTCTTTGACCTGGCATAGGTGTATTGGAATCGAAGTTTAAAAAAATATTAAGAAAGTTTACACTTAGCTTTGAATTATTCCTGCGATCACATGTAAATCTAGGTCCTCTATTCACACCAAGACAGAAGAATTCCCAGTCCTATCTGTCTGCCTAGTCTGGTAGACTTGCTTCATCACTGCTACAGCAGAATTTGCTGATGGGACACTGCCCTTTAGTATAGTTCACTGACTTGGTCAGCTTCACCTCCATCTCTCTCTTGCCAGCTTCTCATTGCTCATGAACAGACACCCAGATGGGATAAGCTGTAAAGGGAAGGCCCTCCTACAGAGGTTTTATTACCAGTTTTTTGTTTGTTTGTTTGTTTTCCAAACAATCAGCCAAGAGATGATTCCACAGGAACTAAGCTGGTGCGCAAGTTTTTTAACACCTGGATTTGGAGGAATCTGAAAACGTAGATCTTTCAAGAAGGAAATAAGGCACTTATATACCTGTTTTCTATGGATAGATTCTACATGATCAACTAATCATCACCAGCATAATTTTAAAGGGAATATATAAATCAAATTAAGCTCAATAAAAGCAGAAGAACAAAGTGATAGATTTTATACTAAATGCTAAGATGATTTAATGTGATTTGTCAATTAAACTATCTTTTGTGCACCCAGGCCATGTACTATGAGGCTTCCAGCAGTGATACCTGCAACTCCATTAAACCAGTCAACCACCTGTCATCAAGATTTGTCAGAACATTCGTGGCAATATGTTTTGTATTTGCTTACTTCAAAGGAATTTCAATTCCTGGCTAAGAGCAGAGAGGATAATATGAATTAATATCTGCAACTCCTTAGTGCTCCCAGTTTAGCGTCACTATGGGGATCGTTTCACTGAAGCTAAGGGAAATTGCTGTCTAGAATCTGTGCTACATGTCTTTAAAACAAATGTTCTCAGTAGTTATAAAATGCATTGGAGCAATATGCAGGTTCCTGAGTTAATTACCAAGTGGATGGATGGAACTCTTTTCAGTACTTTGAAAGAACTGAATTTGTTTTGGAGCCTCTTCAGCCTTCACAGTACTAAGTAACATAGCTTGAAACTCATTTTTAAGAGCTGATGCCCATTCAAAGTACACCTTTCACGTGAGGCCACTGCTCAGAGCTTTATTACTCTAGTCTTCACAGGTACTTACTTGGATCAAGTTTTATTGACTGTCTTGCTGGATACCACTGGGGATCTGTAAAACCATGAAGAATTTTGTGATATACAATGTTTCTTTTAAATTATCCACTGTTACAATGAATGAAACACAACACAGATTTATTTGAAGATATTTAGGAAGGTGTATCAGGGTAGTATAAAAATTGTATTGAAATCTCACTATGATCACATTCATGTGCAGATTACCTCACATTATCATAAAATCACAGAATGGCCTGTGTTGGAAGAGGCTGTAAAGATCATCTAGTTCCAGCCTCTAATGTGCGTATGCATCACGTTTCACCTTATATAATTTTTTCTTATTTATATACTGGATATTCTGATGCAATACAAACTGTTGCAAAAGTTATACTCACATAATTTATGGAACATTGATCTTATCTCCCTAATTGTAGCATTTGGTTCCACCTAGGCAAAAAAGAACATATTTATATATATGTATATATATACGTATATAAGATACGTATTTTTAAAGACAGCTGTTAGGATTGGTATGAATGATTCAAAACACTTCTTACAGGAAAAGTGGAGGACCTGATTTGTGACATCTGTTTCAGAGGCAGCTACTGTGGCAGTACTCAGTGTTACTACAGCAGCAGTGACAGTTTGATGGCTTCTAAATGAGTAAGGGACAACTGGCACCATCTTAGAGAAGCAAGTGAAATTGTGCTCTTTGCACAAGAGGTATGAGTATGAAGCATATGAAGCATGAACAGTTATTGTCTCCTTAATGCCAAAGAAGGGCTATCAAAATACTTTTCACAAACATTAACTTTGCTTTAAAAAGAGCTAGCAATTTGTAAATAGTCACCTAATGTTTTGAGCAGGTTTTTATTTTACCTTATCTAAGAAGCATAATTGTTCCTTTGTCTTCCAGTCAAGGATTTCCACCTGATAGAACACAAAACAATAATCATTAATTACTGACTGCATAATATCTAAACTTAGTTGACTCTCAAATTCACAATCACTATTCAGAATGAGATACCATTTTTCTATGATCTACATGTGAGAAGCAATTCTAATGTGCTCAAGAGACAGCTTTAATCAGAGACAGGATCTCAAATAGCTCAATTTGTGACAAAAGTAACATTTGACAAATCAGTTGTCTTCATGGATAAATTCAGAAGCAGTAGTAGCTAATTTACTGACCAAAAGATGCATATTCAGGGATGTTCTCTTAAACTAAAACAAAAAGAGCAAATAAAGAGAAGTTTCACACAAATCATTAAGGAACAAATCTGTCTTCAGAATTGTTCTGATTTGTAAAATTAGACAATTCGAGAAGAAATGTAAATGTGCACTACATGCATGTAAGCAAATATTTTGAATATGTATAGAATGAAGATTACCGTGCATTGTTCCCGGAATTTGTTAATTGTGAAGAGAGTAAAAAACCTCAACAGACATAATGAACAAATGCAGCTAAAAATGGAGACTTCACACGTCATCGTGATACATGCAGCATTGTATGCGATATTATGTTATTCTTGCCTCTCAGATCACCTGTATTACAAACTGCGTATCAGCATTTTATATTCCAAGCAGCTGAGACAAGGAAAGAGTAGACTGTTTTGATGATCAAATGACATTTTGGCAAAAGATTTTAGGAGTCCAGTTACAGCAGGCTCTTACAATACACTGGTTGTGTTTTAATTCCATTTGTTTCCATCAAACACTTAGCTGTACCACAGGGTCCATTACTAAGATTGAAGGATCAAAGCTTATCTGTCACACTAAATGACTGTGGCTTTATCATTACTCAGTTTGGGTTTTGCTCTTTGGTTTTGTTTATTTTTATAATGTCTACCATTAATTACGTTTGGTATTAACTGACCAAGAGGACAGATTAACGGTAGACTTTAAGTATGACTCCTGGCTAAAAATAGGAGTCTCAGTCCAGTATCTTTCTGACAGTTTCTTTGAAGAGATCACTCAGTTAGAGTGTCTTGTTTCCCCCTTTTACTTGTCCCAAATTGTTCTTTCTCTGTTAGTGTAGCAATGAAGCACTTCAGCTCCAGCCAGTAGTATCAGATCTCATCCCACAAGGGATACTAATGCAGTAGTATTTTCTGCCTGCACCCTGTAAGCTCCAAGGGAAGTGCCAAGGGAGGTGAGCACTTCTCCTCCTTTGCAGTTCATGAAGAATGTAAGCCACATTGGGGTATTATGTATTCCTCTCTTTGTTGCTGGTTGTTGTTGTCGTTTAAATATATATTTGAAACGATGTAGATTACAAGAGTTACTGCCTCTGTGGGAGATCCCTGTGGGAAAGCAAAGTGAATTGTGTTATTCTGCAATACTGACCTACAGTATTCTGACTCTCACAAGCCACAGAACAGGTACTATGGGGGCTGTAAACTCATTTTTGTCCCTTGAAATGCTGAGTTACTACAAGGTTTATTGAAACCTCTGGTGTATCTCAAAGTTTTTGTATCAAAGAACACCACTGGGCAGCCCTACTGACTACAGCAGTGAGTAACTTAGAAGCCTTCTCCTCATTCCATACCCAGGGACAGCATATGCATATTGGATTGGAATCTCTCCCCAGGCAGTTCTACTCTATAACTTTCAGTGTCCATATTAGAGAAGTCCTCTCCAGGCCAATTACAGAGCAGGCTGGCCATCTTTCTGCCACTTATGCTCTTCTAATTAGCTTACTCTCATTTTGCACAAGGCCAGACAGAAAATTACAAAACATTTTCTTTTGCTCTGTGTTCTTCCTGGGGGAAGCTGTGCAGAAATTCTGGTATTTCTGTGAACCATTGGAATCAGTATGGGAAAGAAGCAAACAAAAACAAACAAATAAAAACAAAATAATCCAGGATCTTCTGTATTCCTATTTGGTTTAATTGCAAGATGTCTCTTTGAAGTGCCAAACTGGCATACCTTCCTGTATCAGCCCATTTCTTAAAAAACGTAATAGAAGCCTATATGATGGATCCAAACTTTTTTGAAGATGTGGTGTCAATGATGAGATGCAATGGCCAACAGCTGCAATATGGGAAATTCCAATCAGATACAAAGAAAATGGCCCAATATTTGACCAGGTAGCCTAGGGGCAATGTACTATTTCTGCCTTTGGAGGTATTTAAAACTGGGCTGGACAAGACCCAGTGCAGTCTGATCTAGCTGCATCTGCTTTGAGCAACAGTTGGACTACATGACTTCCAGAAGTCCCTTGCAACCTCTGTTATTCAATGTTGAGGTATTTTTGGGCAGTCCTTCCTGAACTTGAAATATTTTGGTTACTATCAGTTACTTTCAGGATCTAAGCAAATATCATACATGCTTTCCCCTTTCAGAAAGAGGAACACAAGAACACAGCTGTAGATTCCATTCCAGCCTGCAGAAATCTGTATGATAAAAGAGTGAAAGCAAAGTAAACCGTTTCCTTTAACTATCATGCCTCTAATCTGTGACAAAATGCCCCCACAGTAGTTAGCTGTTCTCTGCAAAACAGACAGAAAAGACTGATCCAAACTAAGAAATGTTATTTTTCTGAACATAATGGCCAGCCACATGAACCTAGATAGCACTGAACACAGTGTTTCCAGTCTTGAGGCACAGCACCAAGTCAGTTAATGTACTGGTTGGCAGCAGTCTTTAGATACCCAGCAATCTGTTCTTGGAACGCTTACTGATGGATACCAGCTCTCTTAAACATAAATTTATGGCTCAGAGAATTTTAATTTTGGAGTATTCTTAAAGAGTTTAGCAGAACAGGACACTGACAATTGATTTGCACTAGCATGGTGTGACTTGCAGATAATTTATTTGGTGAATTTTTGAAGGCATTTTGAATTACCACTTCTCTAAAACTATTTTGAATAGAATTTAATCAGTAGGCAGATTTGTGCAAGATACCTGTTAGTTAAAGCACTTCTAGAAGTGACTACAGGTACATACCTTCAATGTTGAGGAGCCAAATTTGTTCTCATGAATAAGGAGCAAAGATTGATAGTGTCTTGAAAGGCAGAGAAAAATTCGGAATTATTGTTTAGTACAGGTCAAAATCAAAGTAATCAGTTTATGATAAAAGCCAAGAAAACTACTTTCAAGTGTTAGATATTTATTCAGAAGATTAGAAAGTTTATCCATAGGGGAAAAATAGTTGAGCAAACTTTTTTTTTTTTTTTTTTTTTTTTAAGATGCTGTCTCTAATAGGATTACAAAAATACAATAAATCAATTTCTCTCAGTTTAAAGTTAATCAACAGATATTCAAAAGTGATGTGAGTAACTTTTAAGGAAGTACTGACACATCATGTTTCTGCATATTGGAAGCATAATTTGCAGTCATTTGTACTCAGCAGATTCAGTAAACTCCAAACTTCAGCTTAGAGAGATTTTTTGAACACCAACATAAGCATGTATTATATTGGTTTATTTTTAAGTTAAGAAAAAAAAAAAAACAGCCCAAAACCTGCTTATTTTACAGCCTAGGAACCAAGCAGCCCAAGAGAGAGCTATGCAAAATGAAAGAATTATCCCTGAACTATTGGACTGCTTATATCAGTGAGGGTCCTTTAATTCAACCACCCCCCCAGAAAAAAAAAACAGTGGTTGCCACAGTCCCAACTATATCTTTCTAAACATTTTATTCTTCCTATAGTATTAGTCATTTTCTCTATTCTCTTAGAATTTTCTGGAATACTGTGTTTTTTATGAAGGAAGCAGACATGGCTCAGTGTGATTTCTCACTAGGGCATATTGGAAATAACTTTCTTTAAGTCATTAGAGTTAAGCCAAGGGGAAACTGCTGTAGTTTTCAGTCATTACCACAAAAATTTCATCCTAATCTGTTAAGAACAATTATTCTGTCAGTAGTTCAACTAGATAAAGCCTTACCTCTCTGAAGAGCTCATATTTCATGAAACTAGCATCTTATTACTATTTCACCTAGTTTAAAAAAGGAGATGCAGTGATACTTGGACAATTAAATTTCTCTTTCATAAAGCAGATTTCTAACGTGCACAAGTTCACAAAATACACACCAGGTGTTTTACTGCTCAGCCTCCTAAATTCTGCTCCTATGTATGCTCACGAGAACGATCATCTGGAATGTACTGAAACTCAGTATCTTTCTATTTCTTCCACCTGTTTCAGACTTGTTAGCTAGGCATGCTTGCATGTAAACCCTTAAGGACCTTGATCCAGTAGCAGCATCATTCCAAGGTCAGCACGAAGCACAGCATTTAAATTAATTCTGAATGAAAAGAAGCTATCGCAACGAAGGTGATGTGGTCCTTCATGCTTTATATATAATGGTTAGACACACAGCCAAGAAACGGAAACGTGCTATAGACTGTCTTCTATACCATTACCAACTCCTCTCACAGAATCTGGGCCAGACCAAAAAGTACAGGCAGGAAAGGGCAGGAATGTTTTCCAGCAAAAAGCCGGAATCTTCTACCAAAGAGAAATCCTAAATCCCCATCTTTCTGGATTGCTTTAAGCATCGCTTCCTTCTACTGTCATTCTGTGCATCCTTTCCCTGCAGCTGATACCTTCTGATATACCACCCAGTGAAGGGCTGGAGCTGAAGTAAACTTGGATGGATAGCTTAAGCAAATTGTCGTAACCACTCTTGGAGCTGGGTGCCTCACGTGACTGCATGGCAAGCTTAGTTTGCTTTCTTGATTTGGGCCTGTGAAGGGCAACAATTGTAGGGCTGCAGTCATCCTTCAGAATGAGAAATCCATTTATATAACTGATTGAAACAGTCTGTAAGAATAAGTCAGGAAGGAAAATAACATTTTATTCCCTTGGAGTGGGAGGCTGAATTTTTGTCCCCTCTCCAAAAAACAAACAAACAAACAAACAAACAAGCTGTTAGAGTTTTGTGTGTTAGAGGTTATTACAGTGAATTCTGTCTCCTGAAAGCCTATGAAAGCTTTCCAGTTTTTGTTACCATGATATCTTCCAAGAGGATACACAAGATGGGAAAGTGACCTGCACCAGTTAATTCTGACTCAGTGGGTATTTTCTTGCCCTGGCTAACACAGGGCTGCACATTGCCAATTTCCCAGTCATGCTGAAGACTCACATCATTCACTGAGTATCACTGTCACTATTAAGCAGGCTGGAATGCTCCCATCTGAGAATCTAAGTCAGCTTTGATGCAATACTAAGTAGATATCCAGGCTTTTCAACAGCACTTCCTAGCCTTTTACGTGTGGAAAAAGAGACTATCTATAGCTCAGGGCTCTAGTTCATAGTGATTATTTTCCACAGTGGCAATATTCAGGTAGAGGAGGCTTATAAATTCTCTGTGAAAACACAATCATTTCTTTGAATCAGCACTGTGATTTGCAATATTGAACTTCAGTATCTATAGTTCCATTACTACTTTTCATGAATCATTTGGTGGATGAATGTGAAAATGTAAATCCAGGGTACACGTCAAACATGGAATTGAAGAGACTGAAGGGAGGAGGGGGCTGTGGTTTTTTTAATCACATCTAGTTTATAAAATATACTTCAAGTAAGTCCATTATTGTCTCTAAAATAAGACTTTAGCTTTCAAAAGCAGCCTTCAAACCCTGAATGGCTCCAGGTACTCCCTGCCAAGTAACATTTTATTGTCACGTTTCCCTCCACAAAATTTAGTTTCTCTCTTAAGTTCCATGAAGAAAAAGAACAAATTGCCCATCTCTTAAATGAAGCAACACAGCTGTCTGTACTAAGTGTTTTGGATATGGAGAACGGATGAGAGAAGAGAAAGGGAGAATGTTTTTCCCCATATTCTCATCTTTCTGTGATGATAATTGCATGTGTTACTTGCGAAAGCAGATGACATTTTCAAATGGCAGGGCAATTTTCTGCAGTCTCCCTTTAAATGACTGTTGAAACATCTCACACATGGCCTTGTCTTGCTTGGGCAGCTCTTGGAGAATACAGAATCTTAAAATCTTCTGCAGTCCTGCTTTTGGCACTTGCTCTCAGTGTCTCTACTTGATGAGGCTCTTGACAGCATAGCGCTGAGTGGAAGAAGCCTTTGTAACAGGAGCTGTGACATCTCAGCAATGCTGGCCAGGCAGCAGCCATCCCCCTGCATTCAGAAGGTTTTCATCACAGTCAGAAGGGGGAGAAAATTTAAATGCCAGCAAGGACAGGGGGGAGGAGGGAGGCAGTACATTATTGCTTTTAGCAGTACTGCATATGTCAGCTCAGTCTATCCTCAGGGAATGAAGACTCCAAAACATTTCTGGTTAGAACTGCTTACAAAAGGCACTTCCCGTCCAAACTAGTTAAGGAAGCAAAATTACAACTGAATTTCTTACGACACTGATTCTCTACAGTATTTGCTTAAGCATATTTCCTCTAGGAAGACAGAGGACCATTCTGTTTTTCCTACATGCGATGCTTTTGAAGACCTAAACCTGTTAAACAGAAAAAAAGAGTAGAATTCATCAGCCTAACTTCAGAGCTCTGTGCTACAGATATTTATGTCTGAGCATCTCATATAAACCCTTTGTAGGGAAAGGAGAAAAGCTGGCACTTTCAGGATCAGTCATATCATAAGCTTAGAAACACATCTAAAATAGGCAGAAGAGTTATTTTCTAATCAATTTAGATAAATGAGCACTCCTAGAGAACATCAGTTATCTAGATACCAGTCTCTATCATAAATCTTAACATTCTGGGCAATGAATCTTTCTCCAGTACTGTCAGGCATGCACACGGCTCTGAACCAGTAACTGTTCTTGCTACTTTTCTTCTGAGCTATTAGTGATAAAACAGCTGTGAGATGAAATGATAAATGTACCAGCACCCAAACAAGACCCACTGTAGCATTACTGCAGAACAAGAAGTATGCAGGCAGTCATCTAGACATGGGTCTAGGAGTGCAGGGGACCTGACCATCTATCAGTTCTAATGCAGACGTCTTGTAAGTAGAGGCAAATCACTCTGCCCGTCTGGACTTTTTGTGCTGATCCATTAGATCCAGCATACTTGGGCTTAATTTAGTTGTTGCTCATAGTTCTTGGCACTGAACTCTGAACATAGCCAATTCAAAGAAAAAGGTTGAAGGTGATTCCAAAGTTCCATCTACCTTTCTACTACTGGCTTCTTCAAAGTCATATTAATACGTTCCCTACTTTGGAAGTCTTTAGCAGTAGTAAGAAATACTCTTGTAAAAGAATTAACAGCCAGTGTCTGATCACAGGTAGTCTCATGCTCTTGCCCATCTTTTTGTAGGTCCATTTATGGGTAAGGGAGAGAACTTTCCCACATACTCAATATGAAATTGATTACATACTGGCCTTGATAAAATGCCCCCAAACAGGAATATTCCAATTCTGATAAATCTCTGCTAAACTTGTAACTGTCATATTAGAAAAAGGTCAGAGAGCAAGAGTTTGGTGTTTGCAAAGTGCTCTGTAATTCTTACAAGGAGGCACCACAGAGAAGCAATAAAGAGCAAAAGGTTTTGAGATATACAGAGATATGTACAGAATTGCACACTAATCCAAAATAGGGAATATTACCACTTGTGGTATCAGTAGAGATTTTTTTTCTCTTATGAAGTCTTGGGAGTGGTGGAACATTCATCTTCTGGTTTTGATAACTCAGTTTCAGATGTTTGCTGAAGAAGTGCAATTCAGCATACCGAGCGACCTTGAACTTGTAAGCGAAAGCAAATAAGTGAGAACAGCGCAGGAAGCGATAGGCAACAGCACCCCCCGCTGCCCTGTCCAGCGCCACACCTTGGTGTGCTCTGACACACACTGCATGACTTCAGGCACATCTGCTTTTGCCCATTATCTGCTATGCAGAGAAGAGGACTAAGAAACAAAGCTGGCATGTAAATTCATGAGATGTCCGAATTTACATTAGCGTTGCTTAGACAGAGGATATTGATTAGACACGAAGAGCAGGCTCTGCTGCTCTGTTCTGCCCAGTGGAGTGGAGCAAATCATTCTACTTTCTCACATTTGTCCCCGCTTTAGAGTAATGGGTGTTATAAAGAAGTTTGGTACAATGGGAGCAGGAGACCAAACTGCAGGTCAGACAGTGAGGACATCGAGAGGCATCCGCTGAGTGCCTGCTCCTGCATCTGGATTTCTCAAGACCGTGGGACAGCAGTAGAAATGCAGGAGGCGGTGACAAGGTTGGGCATTTTTCCTAAAAACTTGGGAGGTCAGCATTGCAGGGAAGAGGCAGAGTGGGCACCCACCTCGCTCCCAATGCAGCTACAGACAGCTCAGTGCGTCGAGTGTGACATCCAAAAAACTTTTATCCCTTTGAAAAGCAACATCTCAACTTCTAGGCTGCGCAGAAGCAGGCTCTTTTCTCTTGTTTTAGAGCCCGTTAATGTTACAGTAACAACTATTTTGTTATTTTGTGTATTTTGCACTGGGTGAAATGCGTTTTTAGTTGAGTCTTGCGCTGGAGCACACCAAGCGCGAGCCCGCAGAGCCACAGAGCAGCTGGCATTTAGAGCCACAGAGCAGCTGGCATTTAGCCAGCACCGCCTGGCTGTGTAATACGGGCACCGCTAGGGATCTTTGCATTAGCCAGTCTCGTCCTCGCGGAGAGTGGGTCCGTCTCCCTTCCGGCCCTTCAGGTCCATCTCACCCCGCACGCACAAGCAGACGAACGGACGCAGCGCCCGCCGGCGGTCCCGCGCGTCCCTCTCAGAGCGCGAACGCGGCCCCGCACAAAAGGGGAGGACGCCGGGTACCGAGAGCGTTCCTCGCCGCCTCCGGCCCGCCCGGCGCGGCTGGGTATCGCCGCTTGAGGCGGCCCGGAGATCCGCCCCGCGGCTCCCCGCAAGGAGCCCGGAATCTCCGCGCGGCACCGCTAAGCGGTGGCTCCGGCTCCCGGCGCCTCACTGCGGATGAGACTGCTCCCGGCCCGCCGGTTTCCCGGCCGCCCCTTCGCCGGCGGCCGTCTCTGCGGGCTCACCCCCCGGCACGGCCGCCGCCCGCACCCACCTCGAAGAAGCCGGCCCTGCCGCCCATCCTGCGCGCCGGCGCGGCGCCGTCCCCGGCCTCGCGCCGCTGCCGATCGGGCGGCGCCGGCCCCGCGGAGGGGACCCGCGGCGAGCGGGAGCGCCCGGCCCCGCCCCGTAGCGCCGGCCACCTGCTGGCCCCGCCCCGCCCCGGGAAGCGCGAGGCAGCAGCTTCGCCGCTGGGCCGGAGCGTGCGGCTTCTCTCGCTCGGCCGTGCGGATATCGCGACGTTCGGTTCCGCTCGGGGGCGGTGCTGCGGGGTGCGCTCCTCGCCGGGGCCGTCGTGAGTGCGGGACGCAGCGCTGGGTCGCGCGGCGCTCCGGGTTTTTGTGGTTTATGGAATAAAATCCGTGCTTTCGCAAATCGGCGGCGCGCTCGCTGTCACGGCTGCTGCGGAACCGCCGTGACGTCGCTGCGCTGCGTTTTAAGTTTCATCCGAAAGAAAGCACGACAGAACCAAACGGGCACCCGGTTCCTCTGAGGGCTCCTTGCTCGTCTTCTCTGGACCCCACGCATTACTCACGGCGCCGCGACCGAACCTCGCATGGCCGCGGCGATTTCCGCGAGCTAAACGAGCGCCATTGGTTCAGCGGCCGCAGCCGGCCACCGTCCGCAGGGAGCGGGGCGGCCGCCCGCCTCGACCTCTCGCTCCGCCCCGCCGGCACGCGTGAGGATGCGACGGCGGAGCGAGCGGCGCTCGGTGCGCGCTGCCTCCCAGGCCGGGCCCTCCCCGCTCCGCCCCGCCGCCCATTGTCCTCGCGCCATGTGACCGCGGGCGGTTACAAAGCGCGGGCCGCCCGCCGCTCCGACTGCTGAGTCACGGCGTCCCTCGGTGCCGCTGCAGCGCGAGGCTTCGCCATGGAGACGGAAGGCGCCCGTGCTCTGCTGGAGCGAGCGGACACCCTCAACCTGCAGACCGGCAACCTGCTGAGCTGGGGCTGCGGCCGCAAGAAGTGCCCCGCCACCCCTAGCGAGGAGGTGAGCGGGCGGCCCCGGGCCGTCAGGGGCCCTGCGGCGGGAGGCTGCGGGCCGGCGCCTGAGGGAGCGCTGGGGCCCTCCGCCGGCGCGTCTGTGGAGATACAGCCGACCTTCGGGACTTCGTCCGCTCGCCGGGCGCCCGTTAGCAAGGGCGACGCGATGCGGCAGGCCGTGCCTCCCCGCCGCCGCCGTGAGAAACACAGACGGCGCGGCGGTGTTGCAGTGGCCGCTGCGCGGTGCGGGCCGGGCCGGCGGCGTTCGGGCTGGGGGTGGGGCTGGTCCCGTGAGCCTGGAGCGGCTGCGTCGAAACGCGTCGGGCCGAGCGGCCGGTGAAGTGCTGTCCGCCTTGAGGGCAGCGCCGGGGCTGGTAAGCTGTGGTGGTTGAGGCTGTGCCTGATGAAACCGCGTCGTGCGTCTGGTCTCGGGGAATCAGGCTGTAAGGCGAGGGGGTTCCTCGTGCTTCGTTCAGGAGAATGACGTGACGCAAACCCTCATTTCAAGCAGTGAGGTTCTCCTTTCCAACTTAGAATCATTTTAATGCTTCAGTGATGGTGACAAGTTTAGGCGAAGTGCAGTCGCTGATGTCTTCTTTGAAGACTAAAGTGAAGACTAAAGTGAAGATTAAAGTGATTAATCAAAATGTACTTTTGATTAATATTTCAAAGCCATTACCTCTAGCGCTGGATGTCATCGCCTGCAATCATTCTAGCCAACTGGAGCATCCTGTGGCTGTGGACTACAGAGCTCCTGCTTTGCTGTCCGACCAGGTGCCTGAAACTTGACCTCATGCACTCAGCAGAGCTGCTTAGAGCTGCACTGACATGATGCTGTGTTATAAGTTGGCTTAGTGTGTGACTGCACGCAGACCGTGGGAGTGGTGACCACGCGGAAAGGCAATGCGATACCAAGGAAGAGTTCCTCGTACTTTTATGTGGATGTTGTGAAGTAATGGCTCCTATTTTGGCCGCATTACTGATTGCTGTGGCCCATGTGAAATAGATCTAGCAGCTAAGAGGATGCTGCAGCATCACCAGCAAATGGTGTCAGTACCATCTGGAAGGTTATTGAAGAGTGGCGGTGTGCATAGCTGGTCCGTTGGGGTATTTCTGGACATTCGATTACAGAGATGTTTTCATTTAAACATAAGGCTGCCAACTTGCTGGCATTGCTGGAATTCCAAAACCAGCATAATTTATCAGAAATAAGTGAGTTTTAATCTATTCTGCTTAGTGTGGCAGTGTGTGGTGTTCCTAGTGTGAGAACAGAAGCAGAACGTTGAGAAGAATGAACTGTAGGGCTGATAGCAGTGAGCTATAACCGCTGTGCTGCTCAGAGGCGCAGGGCGCACTGTGTGCCTCACTGTGCTGGGAGGAGGCGGTGTGCCCTGGGGACAGAGTTTTGTTCAATCCAGCACTGCAGCAACAGGGAGTGGCAAAGTAGTAGAAATGGGATATACATCTTGAGCAGTCCTGCGCTTTTCTTCAGACAGGAGAAGATTGCCCATGTTGATGGGAACATAATGTTAAAGAATTCTAGCGTCATGGATAGCTGCTTAGTGAAGTCAGTTCTTGACTTTCGAGTCAATTAGTTTATTCCTCACGTTTTAAGTGTCACACATAGTGTTCTTACAGGATTATGTCTTGTCTTTTTGGCGTTGGATTCCTGTATGGTGGTATCACAGAATGGCCAGGGTTGGAAGGGACCTCAAGGATCATGAATCTCCAAACCCCCTGCCACATGCAGGGCCACCAACCTTCCCATTTAATACTAGACCAGGCTGCCCAGGGCCCCATCCGACCTGGCCTTGAACACCTCCAGGAATGGGGCATCCAAACCCTCTCTGTGCAGCCTGTTCCAGCACCTCACCACTCTCATAGTAAAGAATTTCCCCCGGCATCCAACCTAAATCTCCCCTCCCTCAACTTAAAACCATTTCCCCTTGCTCTGCAGTTATCAACCCTTTCAAAGAGTTGATTCCCCTCCTCTTTGTAGGCTCCCTTTAGAGCATTGGCCTTGGTGTGGAGTGTAATGGGTTCTGAGTTCGTGTTAGTTGTCCCAGGAAACTGCTATTCAGAGATATAAGAAGGTATTTGCACAGATATAAAATGCTTTACTGCCCTTTCAGCAACATGGGCTTTTGGAGTGCTTCTCTCACAGCAGATAGTCTGACAGTGCATAGCATTAGTCTGCAGGGTGGCATGTTAGAGGGAAGGGTACAGGTACAGCTGAAGCACTGGTGCAATATTCAGTTTGTTAATTAGCTTACTGAGGCTTAATGAGTGTAGCAAGGCAAACCTATTCATATTCATAGTCAGAATTGTCACCAGATCTATTTCACATCTGGAAGAAGGAAAAGTGCAACTGAAGGTAGGATCTGAAGGATCGTCCTAGAAATTTTATACAATGGAATAAGAAGGTGGAAAAGGGTTGCACCTTGGAAAGAGAGGTTATGAATGTAATAAGTGACTGTAATGTTGTTACAGCACATATGCTATTATCTGTTTACTTTGCAACTAAATAATCTCTGCATTAAATAAAAAAAAAACACCCGCAATGTAGGCCTCTATTTCTTGCATACAATTCTTTTTAGGATGGTGTTGGTCACAAATAAATGAAGTATGGTACTTGTGTTACTGCTAAAACTCTTTGAAAGAGGAGAAGAATTCTTCTAGAGTTAGCTTGCTTGAACAAGTTTCGTATGGAAACTATGGAAGAAGAATCATTTGTGGTTGAAGAAATTGGATCACGAGTTTACCTGCTGTCTGCCATATGTCTGTGAATCATTGTATTTCTATGCAACTGAAACATAAACACACCTGAATATCAAAATATTTTTTAGGTGCGGGACTGCATTCAGAAAACACTGACTGAATGGAGCTCAAAGGTTGGAAGAGATCAGAATCAGGTAGGAGAGACTGTGCACCTTACATTTGAACACAAATATGTACTTTTAAAATATGAATGAATCTACTGAAATTTTATGAATGTCTGCAGCTCCAGATACCTTAAACAGTATTTCTCAACCTCCTTTTTGGTTGCTTTTTCTCTGTTTGTTTTCATGTGTGATATTTCTTAGCCTCTTGAGATTCACTGAAGTAAAGAATCCTGTTGATGGGGAAATAAGAATTCTCAACTGAGGAAGCTGTTGGGTTTCTTTGCTTGCTTTGTTTAGGAAGGTAGTTTGCCATAGTGGTCTCTTTACATCCGAAAAGCAAATTACTCCTAAATGTTGTTCCAGTAATTTGTATTACTATATATGTAATTCCTATCAATATATATGTTGTGTGTGGTTGTTTGTGTTGGGTTGTATTTCTTTTTTTGTCATACAGTATTTTCCTCTGACTTCACATAGGTCAAGAGGTGCTGTGTTACTTTGTTTTTGTGTAACTGCACTTTTATGCTACGTCTGTTTCTGTAAGGTTTTTGTTGTGGAATTGTGTTTGAATTAACAATAGTGTTCAGAAACTTACTGTCACCCATTGACAAGTTGTCTCATGTGATTCCTAAAGGAAATGGCAGAGGTTCTGGAATGTACCGTAGCTCAAGCTGTAGAAAAAATGAATCCTGAAGAAAGGGATGAACTGAAAGTATCAGGTAAGAATGCAGATTTTTTTAAAAAATCTGGTGGGATGAAAGGGTTTCATATGCTGTTTTTAGTAGGAAGTTCACATGTATATATTTTTTTCTTCTTGTTTTGTAATGGCTAAGTCAAATGTCATCAGTGCTCACTGTCATGCTTACATCAGTTAGCTGAGAAAGACCCAAACATGTTTCAGGTTTTAAAGCTGCTCATCATTTTTCTACTTTAATTTCCATCCCATTGGGACATTAAAAAAATATTTTGTGAATCTTTGACTTTGCTGTAGCAAATTATCACAGATAATGCTACAGTGAAGAAAAAACATCGGAAGCACATTTATTTGCATAACTGTGCCAGGTCAAATGTGATGAACTTGGAGGAAGTCCAAACTAACGCTAGGACATCCCAACTTCAGTAAGTTCTGAAGGAATCTTTGTACTGCTGTCCCAGCTTTACAGCTTACTTGGCCTCTAATTGGATGAGTTCTTATTCTCAGACTGTGCAACTCTCAAATTTAAGAGACCAGTGTTGTTTTTGGGCAGTTACGTTCCAGAATTTTTTCAGATTTTTGAACTGATGAATACTTTTACAAGCCCTTACCAAGAGCTCTTAAATAGCTATTTGCTACTGCTGTATATGCTGCATATTTAGTAATTGCTGGCTTGTTCAGTTATGGATTTGTTTCTTGGAAAACAGCAAAACTTTTCATTGTTGGATCAAGCTCTTCATCAATCAGAGATGCAGTGGACATGGGTAAGTGTGAAACTTGAACTTCAAGGCTTTTTTATTTCTTTTACTTCAGTATTTAGATCTAAAATTAGGACATTTTTTCCACTTGAGATGTATTTAATGACCGCTGCAAGTATATGCTCTTTTCCTTTAAAGAGAAGCATAAGTAGTCAAGTATAATTTATGCATTATTTCAGTCAGTAAACTTACTAAATGTGCATCTCTGTAAAAACTCAAGTTTGATTCTTTGCTCCAGGGAGGAGCAAGTTCTTATTCCTTCACACAGATCTTATTAAATAGTGAGAAGCGTGTCGTGTTTTTGTAACAATGATACAGTGAGTTTTTACCAGTTAAAAAACAACTAACAACACTATGAATTTCACTGCTAACTGTGATATTTTAGATCTGTAAGTTTGATTCTTGGCTAAGGAAATTGTGTTACTGGTATTTGGCTTCTAATGAGAATTCTCAAATGGTGAACTGGAAGCAGTGAAGCAGCAGCTGTGTTGTTTCTGCTGAATTTGAGATGTGATGCTGCTTATGTTCTTACCTCATGAAAAAAAAATTGCTGTCGTTATTTTTCAGCATGTTCTTCCCTTGGAGTTGCTCAGTTAGATTCGGTCATTATTGCTCCACCTCCTATTGAAGATGGAGCTAATCTCTCTTTGGAGTATCTGCAACCTTATTGGCAAGAACTTGAAACTCTAGTTGAAAGCAAAAAGATTGTTGCCATAGGCACCTCTGACCTTGATAAAACACTTCTAGAGCAGCTGTACATATGGGCACAGGTGAGAACAAACTTCATAATTGCATTTCTATGGCAGAATTTTGTTGGTTGCCATGTTGTAATAATTTAGTGTGTATTATTTGTTATAATAGTTAAAAAAAAAAATAAAAAAAAACTGGCTCCAATTATTTTCAGCATCTTACTGACTGTCATAATGTTGTTCAATGGGGGGAACGCTCCAGATGTGATTGTCACTTGTTCAGTGTTTTTTTCTAAACAGGTCCCCGAGGACTGTAGGCCATGGGTGGGTTCAGTAGTAGTAATTTGAAGAAGTAGGGGGCTTAGTTTTGAACATCCTTATGAACAGGACCATAAAAACTACTCTTAAACCTTAAGGTTTATTCCAGTGATGTTTTGATTATAGCTGTTTGGACTTCAAAGAATGGAGGGGTTTCCCTTTGGAAAATGCGTCTTGCATGCCAAACATAAACTGAAAGAGGAAGAGAGACTGAATCAAGCAGCATAATGTTTGCTTGTCCAATGTGACTACTTGCCTTGTCATACTTGAGTGCCAGAGGTCACTACTAGCATCTGACCATGCTTGTGTAAGCTTAGGGATTTACTGTTTTGGTATCAGTTCTTTGAATACTGCTCTTGCATTTCTTTTGTGATGTGTGAACGTGACAAAACTGTTTTATACTCCTCACTCTGTAGTATATTGAGATAGTTCAGGGAATTGATAACCATCTGCACAGTTATCATGGATGTAGACTGTGGTGAGCAGTCAGTGGGAAAGTCCCTTTTAACTTGATATGTTTTATTTGAATATATGAAAGGTTGCAAATTATATATCCTTAATAAACCTGAATTTTGAGATCTTTTTTGAAGTAACACCCCTATAACATTCTTACTGCAGAGAGGGGGTAGAAATACTCTGGTATTTAGGGAGCACAGTAGACAGGAAGCCACGATGGGTTAGAATGTGCCTCACTGTGATGGTACCTGAAGTGAGATCCTATGTTGTTTTGTGCCCCGGGCTGCGGGAAGTTGCAGGTGTTGGAGCTGGTTGTTGAGCGACGTGTGGAACTTCTGCCCTTGCTCAGGTCTCACAGCAGTGGTCAAGGCAGATTGGTCCAAGCGCTGTAATACAGGCGTAGGTGCAAAGAACGACAATGTATTTTCTTATAAAAGCATTCTATTACTTTCAGGTGAAACCGAGTAGCAATCAGGTGAACCTGGCTTCCTGCTGCGTGATGCCGCCTGATCTCACAGCATTTGCAAAACAGTTTGACATACAGCTGCTAACTCACAATGACCCGAAAGGTAAGACTTTGCAAGATGGCCTAACAGTTCTGCAGTGTTCAGACATGTAATGGTAACCAAAGGCTTCTAAATGCACGTATTCAGTCCAAAATCAGGAATGATCTTTCTCTGAACTTCAAACTTCATTACATTTGATTCCTGAAAAAAGGATTTTAGAAAGTTCATCTCTACAAAGTATTATATAATACAAAGTATTACGTTCTTGCTTTCCCTTCCAGAAGAGGGAGGGAGAGAGGGTGCAAAGGCAACAAGTCTTCCACCATGGGTTAGTCCTTTGAAATACTTTTAACTGGCAAAAACAATGTAAATATAAGAACAAAGTACTGAGATCTTTTTTACTATGCTTCATTCAAAAATAACTTATTTATATAAATCACATAAACTCATTTTGTTCTTGGTGAAGGGCAGTAAATGACAAATGGAAGTCCACTTGCCCAGAAATTTTCTGAGGAGATCTTGCATGAGAGCGTTGATGGTCAGTCAGTTGATCTTTGCATAATGTTGGAAACAGGAAATTATTACTCTTCATGATGGATTCTTTCAATTGTGATGACTTTCACAAATTCTTTCTGTAACTGTTTGAATTCTTCAGTTGTTTAGAGCAGTTTATAAAATGGTTGAAGGACTTTTAAGACTTTCTGTAATCTCTAGAACTCTGAGCTATTAGCTCACTGGAATATACTGGAGTATTGCATTCATTTCTCAAAACTCATCAGAAGATCTTTGCTGTAATGATACCTTAAATATCTTGCTGGAACTGTAAGCCTGAAGTCTTAACCAATACTTTGCTCATTCCCTTCCCACACATTTCTTCCTGATCAACAGTTGTCTTTTTTTTTTTTTTTTTTTTCTTTCTTCTCCTTTCCTCCCTTCCCCCCCTTAAGTTAAAAACAAAACCAAAAAAACAAAAGCCAGCTCTGTATGAAATGCTATCTAAGTACCTGCTTTATAGTATCACTGTCAAAACCAATGGGTTACATCAGTGCTTGAGAATGTGTCAGTTCCACCCTAGCAGGCTACAAGATGAATTGCAATTCAATGTGGCAAATTCCACGTCCAAAACACAGCCTGTGATTTAATAGCTAATCTCAATCAAGAGTCATGAAATGAAGAAGATAATTTTGTTTGAAAATAAGGCAGAGTCATTTTCTCATGCAATGTTTGCAAAGCCTAGTTTTTCTGTCTTGGTCAGCTGAAAAGTCTTGAGACTATCTTTGGGAATGCTCCTCATCAGATTGTTGCTTTGACTGACTTGAGGAAACTAGGAGAGTTTGTATTTTCCTGGTCATCCTGCTTTTTAGCAATTATCCTTGTTTTCCTTGATGCTTTCTGAGCTTATACCCATGAGTCCCATTACAGGAGATGCTATAAAGGCTGAGCTTCTTGTGGCTGCAAAAAGAACTCTGCTGCTGCTCACTACTTTGCTGATTTCAGCCTCATGCTTTACTGCTCTCTGATTTGTCTAGCTAGTGTCTTGACTTTAATTTTTGCTTTTTCTTGCTAGTAGCTCTGCTGATCAGCTCCATTAGATGTGGTGGAATTCTGTTTATTGGTTCTATAGAAAATAATGTTTGTTAAAAGGCAAAAGCTGTCTGGAAGATTTATTCTGAAATGTTGAATGGAATTTCCCTTGTATGTATTCAGGAGTGGATACCTGATGCTGCTGAAGGTTTTCACTGTAGGCAAAAGATTCTCTTACTAAGTGTTGCTTTTTGCAGCTGTTTGTCTGGCATTATTTAAAGCATGAATATTCCTTTTTAACTTTAGAATTACTTTGTGAAGCAAGTTTTCAAGAAGTTCTTCAGGAAAGCATCCAGAACATCAAAGCACACGAATGGATTCCTTTATGGATTCTGCGGTATTCAGTCATTGTTAAAAGCAGAGGAATTATCAAGTCCAAAGGCTATATCATGCAAGCTAAAAGAAACGCCTCTTAAAACCCTTCACCTTTTTTTTATTCTTTGAAATGTCCTACTGTTTTAATTTCTGGGGGATGGGAGGAACATGCCTTTTTCATAGAGAGACTTTACATCATTTATAACAAAGACCAAAAGTTGTAATTATTGAGCATGATGTCAGAAGGACCATCTGCAGTGTTCTGATGATATATTTTTTAATGTACTGACCAGTTCATTAAAAATGTTTTGGCTTTACTGTTGAAACGATCTATAAAGAAACAGCTTAAAGTATTTCTTTTTATGACCAGTTCACTGTAGGAGTTCTGATTATATTTCAGCTACCGCTAGGCAGCATAGAGAAACATATATTTTTAAGTTCAATTTCTCTTCAATATTTACTAATGTGGTAGGAACATGGATTTCAAACTTTCAAGGACTGATTTATTTTTTTTTTTTATAGAAAATTGCCATCTTTCATGGAACAATTATTCTAAATAAACTATCTTTACTTCTTATGTATATAGGCAAAGTAGTTGTTTAATTTGTGTGGATGGGAAAAATTGGTTTATTTTTAATATATCATGTTTATATTAAAAAAAAAAAAAGCAATCCTCTTTAGAAGATTTAGAAAGAAGCATCTTCCAAATTGCTTTACTTTTTATGACTTGAATTCCTTCTGTCTTTTGTGCCTGTGCGCTTTTAGTACTTCACAAATGATGGCATCTTTGCCATTTCAAGTAGAAAATGTTCCATTGTGTGTTTAAAATTAAGAACTGGAAACAAATGATGAGAAATGTGTTAATCAGGAATCCAATAGTACTTGGTTTGTCCTCAGCTGTGTGTGTTTGTTCTTCTAATGTTCAAGAGCTATGCAATCTGAATCAGCCATGGCAGAAACAGTGGGAAATGTTAAGGCTGCTGACTGTGTGTTCATGTAAAAGGGATGATGATTCTGAGGATTGCCTTGGAAACGGCCTTGCTTGGGTGCCATTCAGAAATGAAGCAGACAAAGATTGTCTTAGACTTAGATATCTTTCTGTTTGGCAGTAGCTTAATGGTCTGGCTTTGGAGTCTTAGGGAGAAATGATTGCAGCTAAGGCCAGTTTAATGTGCTCTATTGGAAAGGCCTTTAAATTTCCTTGGCATTAAAATCAGAATAGAAGGCAAAAAAAAAAAAAAAAAAAAAAAAAAGAGCTCTGTCTGTTCACCAGGGGTTCTAAGTGTCAAGAATCCAATGCTCATTTTCCTCTGGATTTCAGGTAGGAGTTACTAATACTTATTAGTACTAGTTAAATTATTTGTATGCATTTATTTTGAGCTTAGGGCTGTGAGGAAACAAATTTCCACCGTTTTTTAAATTCTATTGTGCAGGCAGCGAGTTGAATCTACAGTGCTTGTAGGCACTGTGTGGAAATACCAGCTCGCTCTGAACCATTCCACTAAGTTACAAGATGATTCTTTGAGATGCCTTTGAGTTCTTCACTATCTTATGTGCATATGGCAAACCCTAGGAATGCGTGGATTTCTACTATTGCTTCAGTTGTTTTGATAAACAAGAGGCAGAGAACTTGAACTAGTAATGTATCAATAAAATGTTCTGGTTTTTTCCTCCTGAACAAAATGTAGGGTTTATGTCGGGTCAGTGTGCATCAGATCTGGAAAAGGTGTTTCCTTTGTACCTTGTGTATGGCACTGAGTTGCGTGCTGCTGCTGATTAACCACTCTGAACTGTTTGCTGCCATTATTTGATTGCATGTGTGTTCTGTCAGTGGGAATTCCCTAAAATAAGAGCTGTGCTAAAACAATGCACGTTGCCCTTATGGTGTCATTATTTACTTTCCAGCTGTCAACTGAGTTCTCTTGCTTTAGGAAAATGCCCTTTAAGACAGTCTTGTTTTTGCGATGTCATTGATAGCATAACAACTTATCAGCTTTTCAATATTACTCTCTGTGCAGAAGTCTGAGAGGTGGCATTTCTTTCAGAGATGAATTAAAAACTGAAGTTCTTCTAGGCCGTTGTATGAATTCTCATTGTCCTCCTCCTACTTTTTCACCTTATCGGAGCCTTTGTCATAAAACGTGTATTTTAAGCTGAGCTCCCGAACGCGGTGCCTCCTCCCCGCTGCGTGGTGCGGTACGGGGAAGGGAAAAACAACAACAAAAAGAGCATTGTCGGTACTGAAGAAGCGTCGTAGCTCACGTTCCTCCCCCCTCTCTGCTTTCACCTTTACGCCAGACTCGGTTCTCAGGGATGAGAATGTGGGGATTAAAATTAAAATGAATGGGATGGGAATGTGGGGAAGCTCGGGACGCCCGAAGCGCCGAGTCGTGCGTTGCGACGGGAGGCAGACAGCAGCAGCGGCCATAGCCGCTCCTTCCTCTGCCGCCTCCGTCTCCGGGCCGTCTTTCCGCTCCGGGGCCGGAACTCCATTGCGGCCCGCCGGGCGCCCGGGGCACCGCCCCGCGGAGCGCCGCCGGAAGGGCGGGCGGAAGAGGCGGGCGGCGGCGCTGTGCGCACCATGGTGGCCACCAGGCGGGCGACGCGGCGGCGGGAGGCGGGGACGGCGGCAGCCGGGGGTGACGGACCCGGCGGCGCGACGGAGGTGAGGGGGGCCGGGAGCTGGCGGGCCGCGGGCGGCTGCCCCCGGCGTGGGGTGTGGGCGCGGGGCCGCAGCGGCCATCTTCCCCCTCTCGTGTCGGCGCGGGCGCCCGCAGTGGGCGGCTCGGGAACTGCGCGGCGGGGCCGCGAGGTCTTGCTGCGCTCCGGCCGTGCAGCCGCCCGCGGAGCCTGAGGTCCTCGTGCGCCGAGCGGCCGCGTGGCGGTTCGGGTTGGAGGTGAGAGCTCGCCTTGGGTCGGCTGGTTTTGTTCTTTCTGTTGTACGGTGGTTACGTTAGCGCCGTGCTGGGGCCTTTTCACAAGGTGTGTCGCTAGTCGTGCAGGCGCGGAGCGCTCAGGCAGCAGGTTTTACGTCGATCCGGCTTTGTTCGGTTAGGAAATACTTTGCAATCTGAGAATGCTTTTTCTGCAACAGGGGAAGCGTTTCCACCATCTTGATCCGCTTTGCAGGGTCACTTCCAAGCACTAGAGAAACAGGCGTTGCAATTGCAGTGCAGGCCATCCGTCCCTATAACTGCTGGCGCAGTTTTTTATACATATATATATTTATGTATATACATAGTTGAGCAATGCGGCACATTTCAGAATGTCACCTCTGGGCCTGCTTCCCATGACAGCTTGCCAGAATTTATGGATTGAGGCAAAGTACTGATTTTATGTTTCTTGATTTTATGGTTTTCTTTGTTCTGTGATTTTGATCAAGAGATAATAAATCGTTAAGTAAGGGATGATATAGTAATGCTCCTTCCATGTAGATGGGGCTCCTTGGAGATCTGTTGCACGGTATCGGCATGATAAGGTTTGTGTAAGAAGGATTGTCAGTGATTTGTACAGTATGTCTTTTATGGGATTATCTTATCCTTTAATACCACATTTTGTTTTTCTCTTCTAGACTGTATCTGCAGAAATTGGTACTTCGGTATCTACAAGGATGTCCAGAAGGAGTAAAGCCGTCTGTAAACCTGCTGTAATTCGGGAATCGCAGCTGGAGGAGGTGGACCATGCAGGAACAAAACCAGATGTCAGTGATAGCACAGAGATGCAGATTAGTAGAAATGAGAATACAGCTGTTCATTCAGCACGATCATCTGCCGATCCACAGGCTGATGGAGATGTGTCTGAAGCAGAATCAAACTGCTCTGCTGTGTCTGGTCTTCAGACACCTCTGTTTATAAGAGTAACGAGAAGGCGACAAATTGTAGTTCCTTATCAACCAGCTTCCCCTTCGAAAAAAAGGCATAACAGGACTGCTTTTCTAAATGAGTTAAGCAGAACTGTGGATGAAGATGATGTCTCTGAAGCTGAGTCTTGCTCCTCTGCTGTTTCTGATGTCCGGATGCCTAATTCTACCAAAACTACGAGAAATAAGCAAAGCAGGAAGAAGTTGCAATCAGATCTTGTTTGTGAAGCCCAGAGTGAAAATATCTCTGATGCAGAGTCATGCTGTTTTCATCAGGAGCCGTCCATTACTGCCAAACGAACTACTAGGAGCATGCAAATGAAACTGCAAGCAGAAAATACTCAGCATGCTGAGAACGTAAACAAAATTATTTCAAAACCTGAGAATGTAATTGAGGACACAATTAAATCTGAGTCAGACCTAATTTCTGACTCTAGCCCTGCTGCAGAATTTAACATAGAAGTTGCTTCCTTTGTCACTGAGTGTAATAAAGAATCTGGTTCACCTAAGAGCGAATGTTCTCCCAAGCCTGCTAATGTAATCCCTAATGAAGGTGTGAAACAGAACTTTTTGAATGATATGGCACCTAGTAGTCCTGAAAAAATGGGAAAAAAAAGTACTGAATCACCAGTAAAAAAAGCTTTAACAGATACTCTGGTTGTTGAGGTAGATGATTCAGAGGAAGAAAATGGCCAGATGCAGGAAGAGCACAGTAAAGTACCAGGGAAGGTGACGTTGAAGATTATGGATGTTCGTTTGACGGACTGCATGAGTCCCAAAGTGTTTTTAGAATCCCCAGGGGAAATAATACCAAATGAAAATGAAGCAGTGGCAGGAAACAGAAGAGTAGATGCTGAGGCAGCTGTTGAGAGAACTTCCACCCACGCCTGTGAATTAAGAAAGGGTGAACAGTCTAGAGGAGCAAGCAGCCCAGGGAAGGATGTGTCTGTTGCACATATGACTGATAGCATAATTAGTAGCTGTAGAATGGTTGGAATCAGTGTAGACGGCAGTGAAGACCAAACAAGAGAATCTGCTGAATTTGTATCCCGCAGCAGTGAAAGATCCAGTGATGAAAATGATTCCTTTGCATTGTTACTGAGCAAAGATGGAAGCAGTGAATCTGAGAACTGTGATGCGACAGAAGAGAATCTGAGTGACACAGAGGCAGAAGAGAGGACTCCTTCCGTGAACAAATCTTTAGAAAAGAATTCACTGCATGTTGAAGGCCTTTTTGTAATTGATACTGAGCCTGGCATGGGTTCCAGCCGAAAGTATTACCTGGATCAGGTAGAGCAAGGTAGTGATGTTGAAAGTAAGCATGAAGGGAGTGAAAAAGTTGAAGAATCCTCAGATCTAGAGGAGGCTGAAGAGGAACTCATAGATGAAGATGAGAAAGATGAAGATGATGACTTGTTGAAAAACAAAATTGATGTGTAAGTGTCTTTCCAGGAGTAGCTAAAAAAACATGCATTACGTTAGGTGTATGCATCAGATATGCATATTACACACTAAACAGCACAGAGTGAAAGGGAGTAATGTCACAGATGTGGATAATGTAGTTGTTCTGATTATCACGTAGAATTGTAATTCACTTACTTTTTTCAGCTTTACATGTAGCAGAACAGAAATATCTGAAATATTTAGGCATCTTGAGGCCTTGTATGCATTCAGCTTAAAAATGAAATGTGAAACTGGTTTAAACTGGTCTGACTTAATTGCTTACTCAGGTCACAGTTTTCTTGCTAATCTTTTATTTTTGTATTATTTTTAGTTCAAATGTAAATAATAGAAATCCAGTAAATGACTTACACATTGCTTAGTTAGATCATCCTTTTTATTTCTGAAAAGTTGCTCTTATGTTTTCAATTCTTGTTTTTAAAACATGGCTTAAGGAAGATAAGATTAAGATAGATTGTGATATGTAACACTTCAAGTGAAGCCAGCATACAATTATAGAATAATATAGGTTAGATGGAACCTATTGAGCTTACCTAGTCCAGCTCCCTTCTAAAACCCGTTTGTATGCTTCAGATGTTTAAATACTCTGCTTAGGTCTGATGAGTAAGTCTTGCTATTTGAAGTTCCCTTTAGGTAGGCTAGAAATCCTACAAATAATTAGCCAGGTGTTCTGTATAAAGGCATCAAAAATGACTGGTTCATAGTTTAAAAGAAAGTTTATCTATCTACGCGTTCTAGCTATAAGTATCTGATACACCTGCTTAAATATCATTGTGTTTTTCCGTAGTACTTGATAGGTGTCAAGCATTCTTGTTATTTGAAGGCTCTTTCTGAGTCAGCCATCATATATTGTTTAATAGCTTAGTTCTTAGCACTGTTTACAATTACTTGTCATTCCAGACAGTGTTTCTCTGATGAATTCTGGTACCTTCATATTTTTCACTAAGAGCTGAAAATAATTTGGAGCTTTTTTTTCCCCCCCCTCCTCTTAGCTAGCAAGCTTTTACATGTGTAGAAGAAGGATGCTGGTTATAAGTTATTTTGGCATGGTTAAGCAAACTAAGAACTAAATTTTATAGAAGATAAAAATATCTAAGATAGAATAGATCATTGGAGTAAATGTGAAGGATCTGTGGAAGTGAACCCACAGGAGTTGCTCTTTATTCAGCCCTCGTTCTGTATGATGGCATGAGTGAACTTGTCACAGCTTAATGATGTATTTCTTCTAAATATTGAAAGTAGAAGTCTCTGCAGTGCTGAATGTAATTTGGAAGAAGATGAAAAATATATTTTTTCTGTTTATTCCTCTCACAGGGCATTACAAGATTTGATACAATATTCTAATCATTTACTGTTTCCCTTTTTAGTTTGCATCTTTCCAGCAGCATAGACCCTGGTTTGAATATCAGGAAGCTTGGAGGTTTGTATATTAGCTTTGATGGAAAAAAACAAAAACCTAGTACAAGTGTAATTAAGCAACTGAAGGAGAAAAAGAAGGACCAGGTAATGTGTTTACAATTTTGCATTACCTACAACTACAGTAATACTTGTTGTATTTGTTGGAGTTTTCATTTTAAAGAAGTGTTTTGTTTTCTGCTTTGCTGAGAACTTCTACTTTTTTTTGTGTTTACAATTCGTTTCAGTGGTTAGAGTTCAAATACATATGACACTTCAGAAACTGCAAACCAGCTTGTACATGAGTGTTGTCTTGTAAAATAAAAAGAAGTTGATTGTGCATACATTTTGCCTG